CAGGCTTGGTCCCAGGCTAAGCAGCTGGAGAGGGTCCAAGTAGCCAGTCCTGACAAGGGGGAGCAGCTGCACCTCCTAGAGAAGGGCAGGGCAGCTGCTGGCACTCCCCCCAGATTTGGCCTGCATGTTTCAAGGCCCTATAGGAAGCCATTCCCTGCAGCTATGAGGACAGCTTTGCCTGCGGGCATGTGGGAACCAAACCCCGCCTTAGCCGGAACCAGGTGCCAGGTGCTACCTCTGAAGGTCCCAGAGAACAAGGTGCTCACCCTCTGTGAGTGCAGCTGGATGGAGGGGTCACTTGGGCAGGGAAAGGCACTGCCTTACCTGCACGTTCCCTTCGCCCACCACGATCTCTGCTGTGTAGGCATACTGCACCAGCTGCTCCAGGGCCTGGGGGTCAATGTCGTGCAGAGTCACGTGGGTCTGGCGGCTTTCACTCATCTCATCTACAATGACATGCAAGAAGCTGATGAAGCCTGGCTGAGACAGTCTCAGCATGGAGCAAGCCAGTCATTCCTAGCAGAGATCATGATGGCAGCAGCTTCCCCAGCTGGTTTATAGCCCCCACTGGGTACTGAATCCTGGAGGTCTTTTCCCTTACCTGTACACAGGTACCCCACCACTCCTGACTTCCTTACGGCATCTCCCTCTTGCCTTTCAACAGGACTGAGCCTGTCAACAGACTCCTCCAAACGCATCCATGATCAGACTTGACTTTGCCCTTGCCTGTTTCTGTGCTATCAATTTAAATTTAGGTAAGCCCACGTGAGGTCTCCCAAGGTGGCTCATGAACCTCATGTCACCTCGCTCTCATTCAAGCTACTGCTCAGTCTCTGTAGCATAAATGAGAGAGGACTGGAGCCCATGAGCCCTCGGAGACACCTTCTGAAGGGCTCTCAAGCCTCTTTATACACATTTTCAGATGCTGGCTGGGGTGGGATGTTGTCTGTGGCCCCACCAGGGAAAGATGGGTCTGGACATGGAGAAGGCAGGAACACGAGGAGGGAAACGGCAAAGACTCATGGGCTGGAAAGGGAAGAGGGAATTTAAAGCGAGGCCGGGGGACATGAGAGTCTGTGCACGAGGTTGATACTTGCTTGTAAACATGGCGTGGAAGTAGGGGCTGCAGGATGCCAGCACAACCTTGTGGGCCTTGATCTCCTTGGTGCCCACATGCAGCACGATGTCGCAGAGCAGGCCCCGCTGCCGCATGCGGTTCATGCACACGAAGGCGTCGTGGTAGTGCCGCTTGGAGTTGTGGGAGATGCTGTGGCCATCCCGGTTGAGAAGCTGCATGCCGCCCTCCATGGCTGTGAGTCAACGGCGTGCTCCCCGTTCTCCGCTGGGTCTCTTCTGCGTCACTGTGGAGGAAAGCCAGGGCAATTAGCCATGCAGGAACCAAGGAGGCTCCGCCGACAGCCGGGACCCGGGGACATGTAGACCATCCCTGCCCGAGCCTACCAGAGAAGAGCTCCCCTCCAATAGACTCCATGGGGGGACTCTTCTCTGTCCCCAGATGAGACAAGTGGAGTGCCCAGCACCATAATGAGCAGAGACACCACAGGGCATCTTCATCCTGGGCTCGGTGCTTGCTAACACCCCACTCCAGTGCATTTATAAATGGATCAATGTGCTAGTCGCATCTCAATATAAGCCTTGTAGCTTGCTCTGAAAGTCACAATCCCAATAAGCCTAGCAGTGCACACCTCCAAGCAACAGTAACTTTGGCAGAGTTCAAATAAGTGGCACAGGAGAGCAAACAGCAAATCCTCTGTTCCACTAGAAAAGAGCAAATCTAAGCTGCGTATCCCACATTCGCATACCCAGGGTTGGGGTTATATGTCATGAAATAGTCACAGGACCCAAGTAACTGGGATTTTGTTCCTGACCCTGCCTCTGGCTTGCTGCAAATCACTCCATGGCTCTGTGCCTCAGTTTTCCTCCCTGCTATATATGTTTAGACAATTAACTTTTTGGGGCAGGGACTACCTCTCTCTGGTCCATAGAGCATCTAGCGCTCCACAGAGCCCTGGAGGCAACACTGATGGAAACAAGTCATCACCAGCCAACCAAAGAATTTGCCCCTGTCTTCACCTGATACTCAAAGGCTTTTGGCTCTTCTTAAAAACATGGAACACAAGAGGAGCCAGCTGCAGGTTATAATGTCCTCCTGCTCATTTAGCACTCTCATCTCTTCTGTAGCAGGGTCAGAGACATCCCAACTCTCTGTCTGGGAAAGGCACCTATACGCCCTTAATGTTCTTCACTGTCTGAACAGTCCCAGACTCCAGGGGCTGGTCCTGGAGCTGGGTTTGTTCAATGTCTTCATCAATGACCTGGAAGATGGGGTGGATTGCACCCTCAGCAAGCGTGCAGATGACACCAGGCTGGGGGGAGTAGTGGATATGCTGAAGGGTAGGGCTAAGATTCAGAGACACCTTGACAAATTGTAGGATTGAACTAAAAGAAATCTCATGAAGTTAAATAAGGAGAAGTGCAAAGTCCTGCACCTAGGACAGAACAATCCCATGCACTGGTGCAAGCTGGGGACCACCTGGCTAAGCAGCAGCTCTGCAGAAAAGGACCTGAATGTTAGAGGGGGCAATAAGCTGAATATGAGCCTGCAGTGTGCCTTTGTTGCAAAGAAGGCTAACGGCATCCTGGGCTGCATTAGTAGGAGCGTTGCCAGCAGATCAAGGGAAGTGATTCTTACCATCTATTTGGGACTGGTGAGGCCACATCTGGAGTACTGCATCCAGTTTTGGGCACCCCACTATAGAAAGGACGTGGACAAATTGAAGCCAGTCCAGAGGAGGGCAATGAGAATGGTGAGAGGGCTGGGGCTCATGACTTGTGAGGAGAGGCTGAGGGAACTGGGCTTATTTAGTCTACAGAAGAGGAGACTGAGAGGGGGTTGACTAGCAGCTTTCAGCTCCTTGAAGGGGGTTAGAAAGAGGATGGAGCCGGACTGTTCTCAGTGGTGGCAGATGACAGAACAAGGAGCAATGGGCTCAAGTTGCAGCAAGGGACGTTTAGGTTAGAGATTAGGAAATATTTTCTCATGAGGAGGGTAGTAAAGCACTGGAACAGGTTACCCAGACAGGTGATGGAGTCTCCATCCTTAGCAGTTTTTAAGACCCAACTAGACAAAGCCTTGGCTGGGATGATCTAGTTGGAGCTGGTCCTGCTTTGAGCAGGGGGTTGGACTAGATGTGACCTCCTGAGGTCCCTTCAACCCTCATTGTCTATGATTCGAACGACTTGGCTCCGGCGACAGCAGTAGCCTTGTCATCCCTGCTTACTTGGGGCACACAGCAGGGGTGCTGCTCCTGTCTTCATGGGGTGCTTTGTGTCTGTGGTGCATGAGAGGGGCTGGAGTTAGACCATTTCTAGGATTCTTTCACTCCCTGGTGCCTTTCAACACTGGGGACTGAACCTGATGGCCCAGGAGGCCCCTTCCCATCCTATGAAATCTCTAAAGATCCTCCGCACCCCTCCCAAGCCTTATCCAATGCCATGCAGCCTGGGGGTGAGCAGAGCTCCTCTGCCTCCCTGGGGACCAGCCTTGGCCTCAGTCAAGCTTTAAGCCACTGGAGCTTTAAGCCAGTCCAGCTTTTTAGACTTGGACCGACTCAAGGCACCCCTTGGGAAATGCCAGCTCTTCATTTTCACCCTTTTTTGTGATAACAGAAAAATAATAGAGCAGCTTTTCTGTTGTGAAGAACTCTGAGGGAAAGCAGCTATGGATTTCCACTTGAAATCTCTGTTTCTGCTGTGAATCCTGCTTGCAAACCTAACTGTGCTAATAGTGCATGGCACCCCAAGCACCCTTGAAAGGCTCTCCGGGTACTCCAGGGTGCTGTGGCACCCTGATTGAGAATCACTGCTTTTGGGTATGCCTTATAGCAAACAGTTTTGGAGTTGTTTTGCAAGGCAGGCTGGGGAGGGAGGAGAAGACAGGGCTAGAATATCATGCAAACCTCCCTTTGCGCGCACACAGAACGGGACTGATGCAATCACTCTGGAGAGCCAAATCCCATCTGCAAGGGGTCAGAGAAGCACGGCTGTACCCTGGAAACTCAATAGGAGGTATTCTCTCTCCCTGAAAGAAGGGCAGGGGGGGGCACCTGGCCGCTTGGAGGGATGCACAGGGGAGGAAAAGCATTTGTTCCTGCAAGGATACTTCCTCCTCCTATTGCCAGGCTGCTTAGCCCGCGTCGGAGCTGCCTGCTGTGTTGTGAAAGGCGTCTGACAGGCTGCTAGAGCTTTGCTGCACCCAAAGAAAAGGGAAAAGAGAGAGAGAGACAGACACTACAATGAGCTGGGAGAGGAGGGGCTGTGGAGGAAGGAAAAAGGCAGCTTTTAAGAATCAGGCAGCGTGTTCCTCTGGATTTGCCGGCCCCCGCACTCCTGCCACGAGAGAATCCCCTCCGCCTCGCCGTTCTGCACGACACCTACCCGCCGCCGACCGCGAGGCCTCTAAAAATAGCAAGCCTTCGTGCAGGGCTGCTCAGCCAGGAACACATCCATTTGTTGCTGTTTAAACAGCAGAGCAGGATGTACCGGGGATGGGGGTGGGACAGGTGCCCGGAGGCGAGACCTGCCGTGCCCCGCAGGACTTGGAGCAGCTGAGGCAAGAGGGGCTGCAGGGGAAACCAGGGAAAGCTGGCAGACAGAGGGCAAGAGCAAAACCCGGCCACGATTTCCAGGGGTGACGGGGGTAATCCGATGTGCCCTCCAAAGGGGAACACCTCTGATGAGCTCGGTGGCCCTCTCCTGCTCTAACTCCTGGGTGCTGATTGCATTGTACACACCAGGCCCGCGACTCAATGTGTGTACAGCGCAGGGCTGCGGGGCGCCTCTCTGAAGGCGAGGGATAATTATTAGCATCTCAGACGGGGCTCCAGGCTTGTTACCAAAGGCAGCCTTATTGCCTCGCCTGGGCTTTCCCAGAATTGCTTTCTTCTCTCATCAGGTGCGATCAGCTCAGAACGAGCCCCCGGTCTCCCGGCCTGCTCCCTCTCCCTGGAGGGATGTGCCTGCTCAAGCTGCTCTACCTCCCCAGTATGCCACCAGGCACGCTTTCCCCCAGAACTGGTTTAGGTTTGCTCCAGTTGTAGCTGGAAGGGCTTGCAGCCTCCCCTTCCCCATCCTCACCAGCACAGACAGGGGGAAAGAAGGGGGCACCAAGGGAGTAGGCAAGGAGATGCCTGGGTTTTAAGGAAGAGCTCTGCAGCCTTAGCAAAGCCACGGGGTGTAACATGTCCGCTCAGCTCCAACTTATGGACAGAGGTGGAGAGACTGTGGACAGACAGCCTCCCTTGTGCCAATATATCGGCTTTGCAGATGAAGTGGGTTTGCAAATGCTGTGAAACTGAGGGGGGCAGGAGTGGGGTCGGGGTCGGTGGGAGCCAGTGGAAAGCATGGACAAAGGGTGCTAGGCGATGCCAGGTGCTCCTTGTGCTCCTTCATGGGGGATGGGGTGGGGACTGCTGCACTAGGAGCGTGGATGCCCCATCTGCACAGGCTTCAGGGGCTTTGGGAGAGGCCTTGCAGGCAGCACCGTGCCTCCGCAGGCACACAGCAGCCCCCTCCTTCCTGCAGGTACAGGAGCAGCTGGCCACCAACAGGCCCCAGAAAGGAGAACACACCTGGTTCCTGCAGCAGCCCCTGCAAATGGGACCTCCTGGACTGCTAAAGAGAAGCACTTCTCAGGTTAGCGTATGCCGGAGCTGCTCTTCCGAGCGCTCATTTCTGGGGGTCCTCCACTGCCAGGTTCCCTGCAACCCAGGGCATCGCTTCTTTCCTTTCAGGACACAACCTCTGCTGCACGTTCCCTGGACCTGGATATGCTACTACGACATCCCTACTGCTTAGTGAGCACTCCAGGTATCACCAGCACCAGCCACCACCCAAATGTCATAAGATTTGCTTTAAAAATCTCTTTATACCTGCTTAAAAGTTAGGAGATGTATCTTTTAATAGACTTTGGCTCTTTTTTATCAAACCACAAGTGCCTGAGGGACACACTCAAGCCACACGCACATGCTTCCCTGACTCCTGTCTCACAGGAACATGAGACAAGATTCTCACAACATAACATGACTCCAGGACCTGGGGCTTTAAAAAATAACATGACAGCTATCAAAAGGCTCATCATGAGATCACGAGAGATGACAAGAAGGGGATGGATTCCCTGATCTTCTTCATACCTAGTTTGTGGGTGCTGTGTGAGCATTGCCTTTGGCTGCTCTCTAACTAGCTGCATGGCAGGCCAGGCTATTTACAGAGCTGTGGCACGGGACAACATGCACGCTCCTCTCCCGAGATATACAACCTTTGTAATCCCGAGATATACAACCTTTGTAATCCCAAGATATACAACCTTTGTAATCCCATTTGGAAAAAAGAAAACACAATCAGGGGGCAACTGGTTGGGTGCTTCTCCTGATGGCTCCTGCGCAACTTCACCTCCCAGTTTAAGCTTCTAACCCTTCCAGTAGCCAGGAGAAGATGAAGGGATGCAGGGCTGTCTGTCCCACTCTGCAAACAGATTGAGCACCACTTCCTCTCAGTGGGGAATGGAACGGCTGTTATAATTAAACAATAAATGATAACGCTGCTAAGGGACACTCGCTGTCTGGGAGGGCTGAGCACACGCTTCCTACCCGCCACTGCCACTCTGACCCCAGGCTGCAGCTCAGAATTAGATCATCTCCCAGGACAGCTGTGCCACCCCGTGCAGTCTGGGCACTCCATTAGCGACGGAGAACAAATCAAATCACCCACTCCCCGGTCACCCTGCTGAAAGGTCACCTTCCTCAACAGCTGCGGAGCAGAGGCTGCCATAAGGAGTGCTAATTGGAGCCACTGCTAGCTGCCTTGCAAGAGAACCATAAAGGCTGAACTCCCCTCCTTGGGCTCAAATCCCGACTTCTAGTGGTGGCCCTACTGCCTGGTAACTCTGGCCCATTGTCCCACAGCTCCGACCCACAGTGATGCCCGTGTGTTTTCAGCACCTGGGGGCTCCCCTGCATATGCTGCTTGTGCTGTGGGTATAAAGGGGGCTCCTAGTACTCTCAGGAAGTAAGAAAGGCTGCCCCTCTGGAAATGGGCATCTATGCACCCTGTTGAGATACCATGAATGGGGAGCAGCAGTGGGACCTTGAGAGACAGGCAGGCAGTGCCCTGAGCAGTGAGGGGGAAAACTAGCCTGTTTGTTTGACGTGCAGGAGCCTGGCTCCATGTGCCCCGTCAGACAGAACGTATTCAGTGGCCAACCTGTATTAACTGCTTCGGTTATGACAAAGGAAGAAGAAAACGCTTGTTAGGCTCCCATGCGACAGAGTGTGGCCGTGCATACAGGCTCCACTAATGAATGCAAATGATCCTGGCCCAAAGGGAGGTCTGTTCTCCTGCACAAAAAGCATATTTTGGAGGGAGTGAATGGAAACACTCTGAGCAGCAATTGGGGCACAGCGTGTTCCCCAGGATGAGGCTCGGAGCCTGCCCTTCCCCTGGACGGGCCTGGGAGCACAGAGAGCTCTTGGCACTGCTGGAGATCACGTGCCTACCTCACCCGCGAGGAGCCTCTGGTGTACTGGAGCACTCAGCCCGGAGGCATCCACAGCAGCAGGCAGGGTGCTGGGGGCGTGAGTCTCGGCTGGGGTGCAGGACACGTCCCCTTCTGGTCAGATACTCTCCGTCAGTGCTTGCTCACGTACCCGGGAAGCGTGACCCTCCAGCTGGGCTACAGACGGAGGTGGACAAGTTGGCAAGTGGAGCTGCATCTTTACTGCCTGGAGTGAGGGCTTGTCTGCATTCCCACCCCATCAGTGGCATGCCTATCCTTCTGCGGAGTTTTTAAAGCAGTGCTATCACCCAGCAAGGGGGCTGCTTCAAAGAGCATCCCTGTGTCCCATCCACAGGGTGGGGAGCAGAAAACAGGTTAAGAGAAGTCACCCAGGGGCCTGATACACTGCACCCACGGGCAGCACAGGCCCCACATCCTGTGTAGTTTTGCAGCTCTGCCTCACAAGGGAGAAAGTTATACAAGCCTGAGAACCACGCATCAAAATGCACGGCCTCCTCACTAGCCTCTCCAGGCTCTAAGCCAGCTGCTGCAGCCATAGGTGAAACCCTGAGGCCCTTCCTGCGCCAGTGAAGAAGTAACAGGGAGCCTGTGCTGGGGACGTGTGGGGCCTGGTCACAGAGCAGAGGAGCACCTATTCCACCCTAAAGCCAGCAGGTGCCCAGGGCATTGCTATGGTGCATCTTCCCATGCTGGGGGAAGGAGCATCTTTCTGAGTCCTCTGTGTGGCTACCAGTATCGCCCCTTTCAGTATTGCCATGGGGTATTTGCTTCAGTATTGTCTTACCCCATTGATACCATTCCAATATTGCCCCTTCCATCCCCTCCCAGACCATCTCACACACACATAGCTGATGGGTTTTACCTCCCTGGAATTGCTTGGAGACCCTGGAGCCCGCAAGCCGCCCAGCCAGGAGCAAGGCAAGGCTAGCAGGACTAAACAGGCATTGCAGCGGGTAGGGCATTCTCACTCGCACACCGCTCAGAGCCGGGACGACAGGCGCAGCTGCAAAGCAGCTGTGTGTGCCGTCCTGCTTCTCTAGAGGCAGGCAACAAAGCACCGGCTCCCAAGGCCTGAGAGAAGAAGGAGCTGCTCCCTCACCTTCCCCAGCAGGCCCCATGTATGGGGCATGAGAAGAGGGAGTGGTAGACTCCAAAAAAGGGATGTCAGCACATTAGGGCTGTGCCTGGGGAGGCCAGTGACCCTGCCCCTTCCATCACCAAGACCATCCTATGAAGAGGCTGGGTTTTCCTTCTGTGCCCCTCTCTTTGGCAGCACAGGGCTCCCAAAAGGGTCTTACAGTTTGGGGCTGGAACATGAATATACCTTAGTCTGGAAACTCTTTGGGGCAGAGACCATATCCTCGAGTGCACTTGTGAACCCACTAGTGCAATGGGGGCCCTGTGCTGTACTCTAAAAGCAGAGTGATGAAGACACGGGCTTTTCCCTGCCACGACACGCTTTGTGTATTGAATGCTCCCAGTGGGCAGACAAACTCTCTTCCACTTCTTTTTTAATGCTCCGTCTCTGAGGATGATCTTTCTGCAAATTCAATAAGAGGCAACCTCGCCCACTTACAGTATTTCATTAAGAAATGCCACATAGGTACCAATTATTAAATCTCACTCACGGATTTGGGAAGGGGGTGTACTGTTCCAGGGAAAACCCAATTTAAAACATCCTTGTTATTCTGGGGTGGGGAGGGAAGTGCACACACAGGTTTCTCTCTGTGAAGGGAAGGGAATAGGGCTTAAAGACACAGAGGCCTCCAGCCCCGGGAGCACGCTGAGACACAAATAGCTCAGCTGACATGGTCACAATAGACTCAATGGGGCTGTGGCAGAGCAGAGCCAGGGATACAGCACATACAGCAAGGCAACAAGCGGGCCACTCTGGGTTCCTCCCGATTCCCCTCTTCATTTTCCAACAGCAGTGTCCTCAGGGGGCCCTACCCCACTGAACACAGGAGTCCATGGATGGAGCATCTGACCAGCACTTTAAGAGACCCCTTACTGGACACCTCCCCTCCTGCAGCCTGTATCTGAAAAAGAACGATTAAGAATCTAGAGATGCAGCAAGAGGCATTTCTGACCGGTCCAGCAATGAGCATCCCTAGGATGCATCCCCAGAAGGCCCAGATTGCAATGCAAATCAGTGAAGCCAATAAACCTTTTGCTCTCTTCTCCCCACTGACCTGACCTGCATTCCAGGGAAGGGAACGAGGACTGGGGGACGGAGCAGCTCAGCGCCTCGCTGCCCATCACAGAGGCAGAGCGCTTGCCTGGCAGTTATGAAAAACTACGTGCTGATATTCGGACGGGGCTGAAGAACCTCACCAGGGGCCTGGCAGGCAGGACTCTTTTTCTCTGGAGTAACAGAGCCCTGCTTTTCCCCTTCCTACAGGCTGTGCCGCCCTCTGACAGAAACCCCATGCAGGAAAAGCCCATTGATTTCCTCTGCTCAGCACAGCCGGCAGTGAGGCGGCGCAGCAAAGAGCAGTGGGGGGGGAGATCAAGCGAGCCTTGTACAGCAGTGCTTGCAGAGCCGCGCCAGCCCTGGCCAGCAGATGCCGCGAGGCCGGCACCACTCGTTATGGACCGCTTCGCATGCATTAGGAAGGGGAGTATGAATCTTGGCTGTTGGGTGCAACACAGCAGTCCCTTCCCCCCGCAGCCGATTCCCCCTCTCAGCTGCAGGGAGGGGTGGCGGACGCTAAATGTCAACAGCCTCCGAGACAGCCAGGGCCCAAAGATGAATGCGCACGCTGCTAAAGCTGCTTACTGCTGATCACAGAGCCCAGCCCACGCGGGTCTCCTGCAGCACGACCCAGTGAGTTACAACCCACTGTGAGCCACGTGCCCAGGCATCCACTTCCACCCTGCCCAGATCCACATTGCAAACGCCTCTTGGTACCTCTGCATGGGTTCCTGGAGCAGCCCACAAACTAGTGGGACCCCCCCCAATTCTTGCACCCCGCACCCCCAATTCTTTGGCCCTGTTCTCGTCCCAGGAGCCCAATCAGGCCTGCCAATCAAGGGCATCAATCCACCCTCCAATCCTGCCCAGAGGCAGTGTGGGGCACGGCACATATGGCTGAGATCGTAGCAGCGAGATTCCCTGGCTTCCCGCTCTCCCTGTGGGCTTTTATGAATTAGGCATAACTGACACGCACCGAATCCTCCTGTCTAGACAGCCTCAAAGAAGTGACAGGCTGCCAGGGAGTCTGGGGAGCCTTGGTGGGAACGGGCAGAGGAAAGCACACAACTCCCAGATCCAAAGGGCAGAGGGTTTCTAGCAGGGAAGTGCGGGCAGCCCACTCCAAAGGCAGCTGCTTGGGAGCAGTCAAGTCTACAGGGCAGTTTGGGAA